TGCATACGCACTGTAACCGTACGTATAATACTCGTACATAATAACCATGTACAGCTAAGACAATACAAATTGGTAATGTAATATAATATAATAATTAATAATAATATATTATAGTAATAATTATATGTGATATTATATATTTATCAATGAAAATACGATAAATTAGTCGTCGTTATAAACGCATTTGCAGCGTTATCATAAGTACGTAGGTATACTTACGGCGTGCGAACTGGACAATTAGTCACTACAATACTATAATAATATAATGTTTTCGTACACAATCATTAAAAATTATTATTATATTGTTCGCTCGAAAAACAAAAAAAAAAATTCCCGTCGCGAAATATAATATGAGATGTGGGATGTAAGCTACGCAGTGTAAACACAATATTGTTTTCAAAACAACGAATAAATACACACACACACACACACACACACACACATATATATATTTATACAGAACATATAAAGAGCTGAATTATAATTATATTTTATAAACCTAAATGAAAAAAACGAGTACCTATATGATATTATGATATACACATGGTCAAAAGGTAAACATATTATATTTGATATATTTTGTGTAGCTTAATAGCTGTTTTGGTCTGATCTGTAAAATACTTATTACGTTTTACTCAAAAAAAAAAAAAAACTAATAATAATAATAATTAAAATATAATACCTAGCTATACCGTGCGACATCATCATTCGCGTACATATATTAACGTACGCAAAAATATAATGTGATACGTACTTATACTGTTTCTATGTCATTATTTTAGGTATTTCATAGTTGATTTCCGCGTACCTATAGGTATATCTAGTGTACTTATAATAACAATACAACAATATGATATATCTCAACGAACTTATTAATATTATATAGTTTATTCAGTTTATTGTACATTGTAGGTACCCATAACTATATCGAGTCCTGCACTGACTGCTTTGCGATTTTGAGACTACTCGTATAATGTTTACTATAATAAATTATACACATTAAACTTGTCTATCGACCGTCATTAGAAATTAGAAATATACTACGCGTATGTCATTATAATTAAAAAATAAATTATGTACAAGTTCGTTTGGTCGATGTAACTCGTTATAGTCTACACATGCAGGTAATAATGTATATAATATTATGAATTAATTTCAAATTTTTGGAAAATATGTGTTTTACGTTTCATTCGATATCATAACAAATTTTAAATAACTTTATTATACCTATATATATTATAAGTACCTACAAATTACAATAAATTACATTACTATAATATCCATGAATAAATCTGCATGTTTTCAGCCGTCGTGTGCATATATAGATAGTGTTGAACTGTTTTGAATGACTATATATAGAATGATACTATATACTTTATAACATGTGTTAAATTATTCCAAATACTATAATATTGATTTATCGCATCGAAAACTTAATATTATATAATATTTACCTTTACTATTATATAACTGAAATACATTGCATAGTGTAAAAATTGTATACACCCTAGTGGTTATATACATGAGTGCCATCAGTCACCATATACGCGTAAGTATAATAAATAATAATCACGCGATTTACAATAATTTTTATCTTTTTTCGCAATTGTTTAAACATATCTATTCTACAATATATACCGTGAATGATAAATTATATGCTGTTTAAAAAGTAGCTATTATATTATGATGCATTGCACAATTATGAATATATAGATATAACTCCCATATAGCTCCTATGTCAATAAATATTGTTTGTTTATATAGGTACTTATAGGTACTGGTATTGCACCAGTCAACATGCGATATAATAATATGCAATTTAATATTATAATAAAATATTTCGATGGTCATCGCACGGTCGAGTGTATTGTAACAGTATGGGCGAAACATATACAAATCAGAGTTCGGACATTTTGGACGTTTTACGAACGTGTTGAACATTATAATATATGCGAAGTACTATACCTATAAATCTTACTATACTTTATGTTATAAATATGAAAAGAATTTATTATTATATACAGTGACGACACTATACAATTATTATGCTTATATTATCATATTATTTTAAACTCGTCAATAAAAATTCTAAACTTAAAATTTAACGTACGAGTATACTATATATATATATAGAGTATACAATATAATATAACACGCCGTGACAGTGTTATATACATATAATATATCTTAGTGGATACGTCGTATAAAGATAGTCTTGTATGCAATTTTAAAAAATATCTCCTTTAACGAGTTACAGGGCATATTGCACCGACATATCCAACGACAGACGGCGGTGCGTATATATACACATTGTCCTCAAGTTTTTATAGACACTTTTTTTCTCTCTCACCCGCCCGTTCTCTCCTCCGTTCGATCTATCTCTCTCTCCTTATTTTTTCCAGAATATTAACCTCGCACAGTGTGCAGTATATACCTACTGTATATATATATATATATACACGAAGACTATGTATAAGCGCACACAGACACACACACACACACACACACACACACACACACACACTCGCTGTACGGTTCTTTGGGCCGCCTAACACGCAAAGTGACACCGAATTATTTATCGGCAAACTGCATCGAACATCTGCTGGTGGGATATATATATTTTTTTTTTATATTTTTATTTTATTCGTTTTAAAAATACCGCCGTTGCGGTGTGCGCGTATTATATTATCATGTATTACATTCAATGTGACCGTATCATTATTATACACCTATATAAATGTATGGTTTACGGTTATATATATATATATGTATGTATGTATGTATAATACTACGTGCAGTTCTCGTGCCCGCAGTCGAGAGTTTATTACGCGCGCGCGCGTTGCCATTGTATACGATAATATATATGACGTGTACATACATGAAATGTGCTGTAATGGTGTATATGCGATCGCGAATTCGTATACGAATTTCCAAAGTGTGACACTATATAAAAATGAATAAAATAAACGTGTTAACATATCGGGAATCGTGTCGTATATTATATTTGCTGTAGGCCCCGTATGTAATAATATTTTATAAGTGCAAGTATATATAATATATTTTATTCGCACGGGAAAATTTTATTAGCCGTTTAAATCGCACCTATTATAATATATATATTGTTACGCATATCTATCTATTGTGATTTCAAACGAATGTTAGGAATAAATTTGTATATTATACCTACAGGTGACATTTTTATTGACCTACATTTAAATGGATATTTTTTTATAGACTTTGAGCACTTCGAAGAATTTTCGTAATATTTTATATATATATGCAGGTTATATCTAAATAATTTATTATATATTTAAATAATATATTATATTTATAAATATAAAAATATATTTAGGCTGAATAAATAATAAAAGTATTTTATCTATATACTTACAGCATATAGGTATTTCAGATAGCTATAGGTAGGTATATATAAAATGTTTCACCACGCACGATGTTGTTTTGTTTATACCTATGTACGGCTATAAATATTATACATATATTTATAAATGTTTTTATGAGAATTTTTTTAAACTATTGACGTGAATTCAACAAATTTAATTATTTTTATAATTATAAGTATACCTACTACTTATACACATAATATATTGTGTATCTAAATCAAATATAAGTACTATTGTTAGTTGTAATTCTCTACAACATAAATACAAATAACAATAAAAATACAAAATTTAGCATGAATGATGTATTATTTGCGGTTTGCTATAATGCTATAATAATATATTAATATAATATATATATATTATATTGTTTACTGCAATGTGTGTAAAAATAACAAGTTTATCACTCGATTAATAATCATACATTTACTAGAAAATTGAGTTTCTACGAAATATGTTATACCTATACACTATTATTATACTGGCGTTGGTACTGCAGTTGTACCCTATACATTCGACTTGATCTAAATAAGTAGGTTATTCTTATATAAAACGAACAGTGAATTTTGTTTATGTTATATATTATAAGTTCAAGTATAATATTAAATACTACTACAGTTTATGATAGCTATTTTAAGTGTATCTATATATAAAATTTATCTGACATTTTAAACATTTTTTTTTTTAATACTAACATTTATAAAGCTATTCTGCAAAATTGCATCAATACTAAACATAGAATAAATAAATATATTAGTATATCTATATATATCATGTAATAATAATTAAATCAATCAATATAAAGACATTATATACGTTATACGTATATATTGTATATTCTAATGATTATATAAACAAAACACTACACTTTGCATGCACACATCTGTATTAATATAGCTATTAGAAATTTTTTTAAGGTACCGCTACCATACCTATATGTGTGAGATGATGTGTTTAATTCTTAGACGCGGAGAACTGAATGTTGTAGGTATTGATACACATATATATGCATATAGATACGTAGTCCTGACTTTTTATTTCGTCAACAATTTTCACATTTTGAACATCAACCAGGATAGCTGCGAAAAACACATTTATACCTATACGTATTTATATTATAGGTACGTATATATACCCTATACTATAAGCCCTCCCCACGTTCGTATTAAAATGTACACGGGGGCCGTTAATACCCGCACTAACAGATATCTGTGTCAATATTGGCATAACAACATTCGTCAATATATTAATATTTGGCGTATATGTGTGCGAGCGGCCGTAAACACGGGGTGGGATGGCGAGCGGGCGGGCGATGAAAAAAATAAAACAAAAAACATAAAAAAAAAAAAAAAATATAGGAGAAGGGATAATAATACAATACCAACAACAATAATAATATATTATAATACGCGATATAATACAATACAAACCGCTGAAAAAAAGGGGGCGCAGCTGCGACAAATGGTGTCCGGACGACGGCAGCGCCGCGCGGCGCACCGACGCTGGGCGTGGCCTCGCTGCCATTGGTCGTCGTCGGGCGGGCGTCGCCGCCGTCAGGACCGCGCTCCGGCAAGGCTGCGGTGACCACATCGTACGCGACGACGGCGACGACGATCAGTCTTCTGACACTGCACGTTTCGTTCGCACGCGCGCTCCTCGCACCGCATCGTACGATTTCGTTTTTCAATTCCAAACCATAACGTCCGTTTGGTCCGTATCGTTTGCTCTCGACGCCGCCGCTCTGATCGCGTGCGCGCACATGACACTATCCGCCGATCGTCATTATCGTTTCACACGTTTTCCCAGTCGTTTGTGATTTCGTCGCGCAGTTTTCAGTAGGTACCGTCCGCCAAAAAATGGTGACCAAATCGCTGAACGGACCCAGTTTCACCATCAACCACATATTGGGCCGCCTGGACGTGGACGACGAACGCGACTGCAAGAGTCCCGGACCGTCGACCAGCCGGTCGTTCACCACCGGCAGCGAGGCCAGCGACTGCAGCGGCGACGACTGTCTGTGCGCCCCGGTCGACTACAGCACGCGCCCGGGCGGCACGCCTTCGCCGCCGCCGACGACTCCCGGCGACCTGCACCGCCATCACCACCACCACCACAACCACCACAACAGACGACCGCATCCGCCGTCGTCGCCGGCCGCGGTCGACATCAAACCGGACGAAGAAGACGAAGACGACGACGACGACGGCGACGGCGATCTGCCCAAGGGCGACAAGTCGCCGCAGCGAGACGGCGGCGGTAAAGGCAAGGACGACGCCGCCGCGGCCGCCGGGACGCCGCCGGTCGACGACAAGAACAAAAAGCCCAACTACAGTTACAACGCTCTGATCATGATGGCCATATCGGAAAGCCCGCAAAAGCGGCTGACGCTCAGCGGCATTTACGAGTACATCATGAACAAGTTCCCGTTCTACCGGATGAACACGCCCGCGTGGCAGAACAGCATCCGGCACAACCTGTCGCTGAATAAGTGTTTCGTCAAGATCCCGCGGAGCTTCGACGACCCGGGCAAGGGCAACTACTGGATGATCGACCCCAATAGCAGCGACGTGTACATCGGCGGCACCACCGGCAAGCTCCGCCGCCGGTCCACCCAATCGTCCCGGCACCGGATCGCGTACAGGCCGCCCATGCCGCCGCACGGCGTGGTCATGCCGCCGTCGCCGCACCATCACCATCAACCACGCCGCAGCCGCGGGCCGCCGCCGCCCGCCGTTCACCCACCAGCGGCGGGCGCGCCGCACCCGCGGCCGGCGTCCGGCCTGGCGTGCCGATTACCCGTCAGCCGCGGCCGCCGCGGCCGGTTTCGACTACCTACACCAGTACTTCTGGCCGCCGTCCGTCGCGACGTCCACCGCGGCCGGCGCGTACCAGCAGCGGCCGTCGCCGTCGCCGCCCGCCGCCTCCACCGGTTACTCCATCAGCCAGCTGCTCAGGCCCACCCTGCAGGTGCCGCTTAAGAGGCCCACGGCCGTCATGCACCCCGCGGCCGCCGGTGCAGCCCTGCTCCAAGCCACCATGGGCCGGCACCACCATCATCTGCAGCAGCAGTAGTATAAAATATATTGTATAGACGACGCGATGTAAGAGAGTAAAATGCATTTTTTTTTTTCAAAGTTACCCTAAGTATGTGTTTTACACACGTGTAAATATTATAATATTATTATTATTATTATTATTATATATTATTGTGAATGCGATCTTTGCGCTGCTCCGGCGATTCGATTCCTGCAGTGCTATAAGTGCACTATTTCATTTCGTTTTATATAGTTGATCTCTTTCGAAAAAAAAAATAAAACTATTAAATGCTATTATCATATTGTGTACATAACATTATAATTACGACGTATACACGTATAATATATGCAATTAATATAGTATGTATCGTGTATAAGTGTTAAAATTAATTTCTATTTATTCCCCAAAACTCGTATCAATATTATAAATTATAATACACCACAGGCGTAAACGAGAGGATATTATAATAATTGTTATGAATTCATGTCTTGAATTTTTAACTCTGCGCTTTACACGATACAAATATATTTATATATGTTATGTGTCTATGTTCTAGTCACACGAGATCGGCCTTTATACGTATATGCGAGTACATTTAGGTATATTTTATGTTATATTTATGTTATAATACAAAGATAGAGTTTGCGTGATGCTTATAAAATATGTTTCCTATATTATGTGTATATAGTTATATTATTACGTATTTGTATTTATAAAATAACAAGCATGTCACAAGTGCCTTAAAATAACTATATAAATGTACTATACAGCGGCCAACTACAGTGTAATAAGTATATTATACTATATTTTAGAATAAGTATATAATGCAGTACCTACCTACCTATTAATTATGTTTTAGGAAATAGGTGCATTTCGATTGTTATTGATATAATTATTATGTTATGCGTTCGCGAATTCGATATTCGACGTGGCATCGTTAAAAATAATAAAATATACAAAAAAAAAAAAAATAATAATAATTGTATTTCTATATATTTTGTATGTTGTACTCGGTTATTATGTATTGTAATATAATAATTTATGAATATTATTATGTGCCTACTCGATATTATTATTGTATATTATTTTTATTTAATTGTTATCGTTATAATAGGTATACCTATATGCCTATACATATTATTATTAATATAATAAACGATATTTTATTATAACAAAAAAATGGTTTATATTTATTTATACATTTAGATATGAGTTGTTGTATACCTACATATAAATAAAATTATATGCGTATCCTAAATTTACAAAAAATAAAAACAAACAAACGAAGATTCACGTCAGAGTATTTTGTTTGACTCGTCGTTTGCGGATAATAAATCGTAAAAATATGTATGTCGTATATCTCTACAGTATTGTACGTGATATTGGTGTGTGTGTGTGTGTACACTCAACAAGCACACAAAAAGATCAAATTTCGACGCAGATAAACTAACACTAACTGGCAATGAATGGGCGCGCGCGCGTATTACAATCCTTCAAACGGATTATAAATACGGCGGGATTGTACCTATATATATATATATAATAAATACGAGTGAGTCCAGACTATTAGTGTACATTGAATGAGTGTTGCAGAAGAAACAAATTTAAATGTTTAACGAGAGGTTATATAAAAAAAAAAAATCTTATTGAAAATGTTTAACCGACATGAGTCCAGGTAAGTATACTATATTATTATAGTCGTTTATATTATATTTTTATATTTATCGCCGCAGTAGATATTATATGATATAAATATTATTAAAAGTGAAAAAAATCACTATTCTGTAAAATAATTAATGGATGTTTTCAATAGAATGTGTTACATTACATTTTCACGTTTAAGTACTTTAGTTTGCAACCACGCTGCAGGTATGGTTATTTTTGTAACTTCCGGTACCCATAGATAATAAACATAACGTAAACCTAATGAATACATTTGATTGATTATAATAGGGATAATCCTATTAATATACGACTACTACCGGGTGTTATACATTTATACCTATTGGTCAGCATTATGTTTATAAAATATTATTGCAAAACGTTTTCTTTTTAATGTACTGCGGGGGGCACACCATGAATATTTGACATCGAAAACTTGGAGAATAATAATATTGGTACCGACTTATACAAATATACAGAGTGATTCTTTTTATAGTTGAACACGTATATTATTTCAAAATTTATTAATATTTTTGAAAATATATTTTTTACATAATTTCCAGTCAAAATAAGATAAAATTTTAAAATAAAAACATATTTTTAAGATTTTACTTTTTTGAATGGTAACATATATTATGTTTTTAATTTGATATTCTAAAGCAGAATATTTTTTAAAGTATGTTCCGATACATCAAAATCGAAATTCGGACAAGTAGGTACAGTTTATAAATTATTATAATTTAAATTTTAGGTGATCGGAGTGGAGTACGGAGATACCCGTAAAATGTTTATCTATTACTCCGATCATCTAAATTTTTAATAATTATACTTATAACTCATAAACTACTAGTCCAAATTTCGATTTTCATGTATCGAAAATACTTCGAAAAATATTCTGTTTAGAATGTGAAATAGTTTCAAAGTTTCAATATAAGTTGTCATCCAAAAAAATAAAAAATTTTGTAAGAAAAACGTTTTCTCAAACATAAATAGCTTATCCAATAATGAGTGTTGTTCGATAAAAGAATCACTCTCTGTATAATATATGTGCGTGTGTTTATATACATATGTATCAATTTAAGTCCTCGTTTACTCTTGTTATTATTATGTTACAAACGGATTTCGTACGGTAGCGTCATTTATTATATATACATTTAAAAGAGAAAAACCACAATACGTTATTTTTTTTACGTGCTTATTTTTATATCACCTACCTATAAATCATTTATGTAGGTACCATACTTAAATAGAGGCATCTATAATGCTTATATTATATTATAATATAACAATCGGATTTCACGTACAGTGAAATATTGATGTGCGCACGCTGTGGGTGTTCTAAAAAGGATCTAATTAAAGGTATATACTCATCGATTATCTTCTTCAATGTATATATGTACCTATTTATACAAAAGAGAAAAACTTCGATTTCACTTTTTTTTAGTACATATTTGTGGCGTATCACTCGGGTTAGGTTTAGGTTGTACTATACTTATAATATGATCAACGCGGTTACAGAATATGCAGAGCCATTTTAAATATAACATTGCAGATATTTTAATAATAGATAGTAATAAACTGCGGTTAAAAAATTAACCCTGAAAATAATTTCATTGGATGACTTAATAATATAAAAACCGAATGATACTATAATTATATAAGTATATTGTATTTATTATTAATATTCTAGTAGTATAAACCTGTGCCTGTGCGGTTATAATATAATATAGTTACAACAAAATTAAAAGTATTTATATCTATATATACATAATGTTATATAGATATTAACTTACATTAATACGTATCCAAAAATTTCAACGGAAATATTATTCAAATTCATATAAAAATACGCAGAGCTTCATAATGTTTCATATTAGGTATACTATCCGCGTTTTTAGAAGACCCTAAATTCGCCCGTAATTTGAAGAGTGAAAAACTGGTACTTCATCATAATTCATTGCACAATATTTTTTTATGATATTTTCCTTAGAAAATTATAGGAAAATAAATGATCTATGCTCAAACGTGCCATTTTTTTTTTTTTAGATCAAATAATTATTTTTTCAGTAAACTTTAAATTTTCAATTGTTTTTTGTATTGTTCAATCAATTATTAAAATATAATGATGTATAAAGCTATCAAATTTTTAAAAACACTTAAGCACAGGTATCGTTCTCCGCAATATAAATTGTAAAATGCTGATGATTTTAAAACAATGCCCAGACCGTTTGCTTTTAATTTGCACAAAACTATTTTTGTTAAAAAATATATTGAAAAACACTCGAAATGCTACACGCGAGCGTCGCGCATTTAGATCAGCGCATTCTGTTGACTGTTGCATAACAGTTTCATGCTTCTTTTATCTGCAGGTAGCGCATAGAGCTCTTAAGGATTTATTGGCAGTCTTAGAAATCTGCAACCTGCAAATTCCTGAATATTGATAGGTACCGAGTGATGGATATGAATGTAGATAGTGAGAAATATACATAATATATAATATATTTACCGTGTATACATATTATACACAGCAACGGACTTATTTTTTTCTCGAATTTTTCTGTTGGGCATAATAATGCGCATCATCTATACCCATACGGCAGGGGGCGCATCGCACGTATACACACGTTTGACAATTTGACATTGAAGTTACACAGTTATATACAAAGTGTGTTTTTAATCTTCGTGCGATACACAACAACGGACGCCCTGCTGCAGTATATAGCATAATATTATGTTATACATAATATAATATATAATACATGTACAGCGCTGCACCTCAAACGGATTCCACGTATAATATGTATATATACATATTAAATATACCTCCGTTACAGTAGCTATATTATATTATGTATATGTTATAAAATAAATTGAATGCGTAAAGGCGGTCAACAGGATAGAAAATATCGCTCTAAATATCAAAAATATTATTAAAAAAAATAAAATATGTTGTTATGTAGGTAGGTATATAAATGAAAACCGTATCATTCTAATTTGAATTAAATTGTACGGAACATGTAGATGAACATAATATTAATTATTCATGATAGATTTTTATTGACGGTTTTAGACTGTAAAACGTTAAAAAAATACATACGTACCATATGCCACGTAAAAATAAATTGAATTGAATTAATACAATTATATATTATTTATAAAATTGTGTGTATGTTTTATATTTTTTAAATAATTTTTTTCTGTCTGACCGGTAAGATTTTTTTCACAACTATAAGCTGAATCGAATAAAATCGCTAAAATATCATCAGTTACATGAATATGTACTATAATTTATTTAATAAAATTTAACATCTCGATAAGTAATAAAAAAAAATTCTGTTTTTAAACAAATATTATTAAAGAAAAAACTTAAAAACTTATAAGAAAACGCGTTTGCATAATAAACTAATAACGCCATATCCTTATTAAACTGTTAAATTAATAAATTATATTAAAATAAAAAAATAAATAAATATTGTATTTGATAGGTATTTAACGTAATTGAATATATTAAAGCGTAATTTAATAAAACGCGATGACTTAATGTTTTTTTTTTTTTTTTGAATGTTCAACAAGAAATAAAAAATTTACCTTTAATATGTTTATAGGCGAATGACAAAAAATAATATTTATGCGTCTTAATTATTACAGCAATTAATAGGTAGGTACCTAC